GATGATGATGATGATGATGATGATGATGATGATGATGATGATGATGATGATGAGGATGATGATGATGATGATGATGCTTTTGTCATTATTGACTCGCTTAGTAATGTTTTCTAGAGCTTGAGATTTAGCACTTCCCTCATAGGCAAACAGAATCTTAATCTTTAATTTGTGTTAGAAAAATCTATTCCCAAGTTTGACTTTTTGATTTCTTTCAATTGTTTCTGCATCGTACGTATGACTGGAATGCAACTCCATCTAACTTCCGAAAGACCCACATAATTGAATTTCAAGTTATCCATTTTCTGTATTATTTGTTGTAGTTTTCAACTTTGATACATTGTCTTTACCTTCCAAGTGGCTTTATAAGAATGTTTTGAAGATTCTATGAATATCTTGAAAACGACTCCGAAAAATCTTGCGATTTTGATAGAGCAGATAGATCATTTGGTTTCTGACCTCATGGTCTTTGTAGCTCAAAACGGCCCAAAAAAAAATCAGACAAAACGTTGTAATTTTAGGGTAGCGACATATTAAAAGCACCCATATCTCATACGAGGGGTGCTGCGGCATTAACAGTTCACACTTACCGAAGAGTACTGTAATTCTCGGAGTTATTTGGAGCACTTGGAGAAGAATAAACATTCCCCCCAACAGCGGCTGCTGGGGCTGGAGGTGTGGGAACCGCCAAAGTCAATATTCCACCGCTAAAGTCTGGGCTCACAAGCGGTTTTGTTGGGCTTGTTTGAGACGGGGTGACGGGCTCGTAGGATACCTCCACCTCCGAATAGTGCTCGCTGGCCGATGCTTGCTTGTCTGTGTGTCTTTGCGGGAGTCTTGGGGATGGCGTGTTCAAGAACTTGACAGAGGGAAGCCTGGTCCCGGAGCACTGTGGACATTTTTTACTAAGGCTGTTCTGACTCAAAAACAAATTTTTTTTAAAGAGAACTTTTGGCTGCCTGCCTCGATTTTTATAAAATCTTTACCAGTACTTTTGTATCCGTATTATTATTATTATATTTACTATTAGTCTATACTTACTATAAGTCGTAAGTAAATGGTTCTGACCAGAGTATTAATAAGCAAACTTTTTCTTTGCTTTTGTTAAAAATACTCTATTGAGTGGCAAAATATGATGGCTTTCACAGTGTGACTCGTATCGTGTCGTCATACTTCGTATTTTAGAGGTGCCAGAGCAGGTTGATCTTTTTCGTCTCTTTCTATATTATGGCTTCTTGTTTGCACATCAGTTTTCGGTCAGGGAAATTTCCAATGATAAAGTGTTCAAAAGAGAGTTTTGCTGGTTTGAACAAAAAAAAGAGAGTGGAAAGAAATATATTCGAGAACTGCACAATAACTATGCTTATTTTCAACCTCAGACTGACGCACAGGAAAGGCCACCTACACGGGGGAAAGGTGCCCTTTTACATCTAAATATCACTTTGGAAAATTATGGCTTGAAAAGACAAATCAAAATGGCCACCCACACGGGGGAAAGGTGCCCTTTTACATCTAAATATCACTTTGGAAAATTATGGCTTGAAAAGAAAAATCAAAATGGTCAAATATTTACAATCTTAAGGCTCAAAGTATGGAAGACAAAGTTATTATAAACGAAAAACGATGTTAATCAAAGATGTCCTGTTAGACCGGAGATGGTCATGTCGGCCAAACCTTTGCTCTTTACAAACAACTTCGCTCCGCTGGTGCAGACTATGGCTGCTCTAATGGAGAGAAAACACTATTCTTATACACACACACACACACACACACACA